AACATCTGCACCGGCCTTGGTGACGACTGCCCCCATTTCCATCGAAAACCACCGCGCGGCTGGGCGTTTGACATATCCGTAGAAAGAATTGAGAATGCATTTATGAGCCAGTTGAAGAGAATCGTTCAACAGCACTAGGTCCTGAAGAGATACTAAACTTTAAACCTCACTTCTTCAATATCTTTTATATATATATATATATATATGCACTTTTCTTATTCATCTTTTGTCTATCAAATTATATATATATATATATATTCAGCATACAGCAACAAATCATGCAGCTACAGCAGCAGCAGAAGCTAATGCAGCAGCAGCAGCAGCTAATGCAGCTACAGCAGCAGCTAATGAAATGCAGCTACAGCAGCAGCAGCAACTAATGCAGGTACAGAAGCAGCTAATGCAGCACCAGCAGCAGCAGAAGCTAATGCAGCAGCAGCAACAAATTCAGCAGCAGAAACAGGCGTGTGCTTGTAAGATAAATAATAAAAATAATAATAACAATGATAGCAATAATAACAATAATAGGAATAATAATATGCATAAGAACTTACTGCAGCTTGTTTGATAGCCTGAAAATGCGCATTAATTTGTTTTAATCTTTTCAGCTGTCTTTCATTTTCTTTTAAACTTTTCTTAAAGACATATCTTCTGTCTCTAAATGCCCGCACAGTATCCACGTAAAAAGAATTTTCGCGTTGACATACTACCGCTTCTTCTTCTACTTCCTGCACATGCACATATCAATTTATTTAATTAATTTATTTATTTATTCTTTTATGGATTTATTTATTTACTTGATTTTTATTTATTAGTTTAGGTTTGAAGGGTTTGAAGGGTTAAATGGGCTTAGGGTTTAAAACTTAAAAGGGTTAATATAAGGGTTAAAAGGGTTAAAAGGGTTTAGGGTTTAGGGTTTAGGGTTTACTTTAACGATTTTTGTTTTTTTGTGTGCCTTTTGACAATATTTTTTGACGGCTTTGACGAGAAGAAAGTGTTTTTGTTTATCTGTAAGCTCAGCCCAAGATTGTTTTGTTGCATTATCTTTATTTTTATTTTTGTTTTTAGTTAGTTTGTATTCATCTTGATTATCTTCATCCTCATTATCATTATCTTCATCTGATGATGATGCTGCTTGTTTATCTTCTTCTTTGTCTTCTTCATCGCTTCTCATCAACTCATTTTCATTAAATTCTTCTTTTCCTCTCCTCCTGCTGCTCCTGCTGCTCCTGCTGCTGCTGCTGCTGCTGCTGCTGCTGGGTTCTGCTGCATGCACTGCATGCGCTGCAGCAGCAAGATGTCTTTCTATAGCCATTACTTCGCCTTTTTCTGCTGGCGTCACTTCTACTTTTCGTCTCCAATATAATTTGCGTTGACATTCAGCAGCTAAACAAACAAAAACAAAAAAAAACAATCAAAAGAATAATTAAATATTAATAATAATAATAATAATTATTATTATTATTATTAAGAGAATAATACTAAAAGGAATAATTGAAAAGAATAATAATAATTCACGACTTTAACGCATCTACACTCATACAATTAACCCTAATAAATAAACCCTAATAAACCCTAATAAATAAACCCTAATAAACCCTAAACTCAAGCGGGATACATTATTAAAGGCTACAGCAGCAACAGAAGCAGCAAAAGCAGCAGCAACAGCAGCAGCAACAACAGCAGCAACAGCAGCAGCAGCGACAGCAGCAACAACAACAGCAGCAGCAACAGCAGCAACAGCAGCAGCAACATCAGCAGGAGCAGCAGATTTATTACCTCTATCTTTCCAGGGGCATTCGGCGCATTGTTGCGGGGTTTTGACTGCAGTTGGTTGAAGACGTTGAGATAAAATAATATTCGGATACATCGCAGCAACATCAAGATGAAGAAGAAGGGGCTTCGCATGCAGCACAGTGTGCTGCTGCAGCTGCTGCAGCTTGTCTTGCATGTCTTTCAGATTCTTCTCATAATCTATAAATGAAGCCGGAGATAAACTCTCTTTCATTGATTTACTCTCCTCCTTCATCCACAATAATAATACTGCCTCTAACTGACTCTCTAAAAAAGAAAGTGTTGCTGTTGACAGCTCAAATCGCTCAGCCAGATCCTGACGGTAGCTGCAAGCAAACAAATATAAAAAATATATATAAATATATATAAATATATATAATATATGTAATATATATATACTTCTCTTCTTACTCAGGGTTTATATTCGTACACACTTAAAGAAAATCGAATAAAGCACAACAAAAACAGTAAAAGTAAATAAAGAAGAATAAACAAAAAGAATGCATAATAATAATCAAATAGTAGATAATAATAAAATAATAAATAATAGTCAA